GAAGTTTAATCCATACTGCAGACTGTAGTCTTTAATCTTCCTTGCTAAGTGCTTCAAGTCATCTTCATTTTCAGCAGGCAAGGTTGTGTCATCTGTGTATTGCAGGTGGTTAATGAGTCTTCCCCCACTCCTGATGCCACATTCTTCTTCATACAGTCCCGCTTCTCAGATTATTTGCATACAGATTGAATAAGTATGGTGGAAGGGCACAGCCCTGACACTGCTTTCCTGATTTTAAACCATGCAGTACCCCCTTGTTCTGTTCAAACGATAGCTGCCTGGTCTATGTACAGGTTCCTCATGTGCACAATTAAGCGTTCTGGAATTCCCATTCTTCTCAATATTATCTAGAATTTTTTATGATCCACACAGTTGAATACTTTAGCGTAGTCAATAAAACACAGGAAAACGTCTTTCTGGTATTCTTTGCTTTCAGCTAAGATATATCTGACATCAGCAATGATATCTTTCGTTCCATGTCCTCTCCTGAATCCAGTTTGCATTTCTGAATGTCTGCTGTCAATATACTGCTGCAACCATTTTTGAATTATCTTCACCAGGATTTTACTTGCATATGATATTAATAACACTGTTTGATGATTTTTACATTCTTTGTATCACCTTTTTTTGGAATGGGTACAAATATGGATGTCCTCCAGTCAGTTGGCCAGGTCACTGTCTTCCAGAGTTCTTGGCATAGACAAGTAAGTGCCTCCAGCTCAGCATCTGTTTGTTGAAACACTTCAATGGGTAGTCCATAAGTTCCTGGAGCTTTGCTTTTCACCAGTTTCTTCAGTGCAGCTTCAATTCTTCTGTCAGTATCATTGGTTCTTGGTCTTGTGCTACCTCCTGAAATAGATGAACATCAACCAGTTCTTTTTGGTACATTGACTCTATGTATTCCTTCCATCTCATTTTGATGTTTCCTGCATCATTTAATATTTTGTCCATAGAATCTTTCAGTGTTGCAACTTGAGGCTTGAATATTTTTCATTTCTTTCACCTTGAGAAATGCCACATGTGTTCTTCCCTTTTGGTTTTCTAACTCCAGGTCTTCGCACATTTCATATAATAATTGACTTTGTCTTCTAGAGCTGCTCTTTGAAATCTTCCATTCAGCTCTTTTATCTTGTCATTTCTTCCATTTGCTTTAGCTTCTCTCCATTTAAGACCAAGTTTCACATTTTCTTCTGATGTCTGTTTTCTTGCTTTCTGTCTTTTTAATGACCTTTTGCTTTCTTCATGGATGATGTTCTTGATGTAATCCCACAATTCCTCTGGTTTTCATCATTGATGTTCAGTGCCTCAAATCTGTGCTTCACATGTTCTCTAAATTCAGGTGGAATATAATCAAGGTCATATTTTGGTTCTTGTGGGCTTGTTTTAATTGTCTTCACCTTCAACTTGAACTTGCGTATTGCAAAATTCTATCATGCAATCTCCGGCATCATTTCTATCACCAAAGCCATATTTTCCAACTGCCAGTGATTCTTCTTTGTTTTCAACTTTTGCATTCTAGTCACCAGTAATAACACATCTAGACTGCAGAAATGGGTAAAAATCTTTAATTTCCTCATCTTTAGCTTTGGTGTTTGGTGCATAAATTTGAATAATAGTATTAATTGGTTTTTCTTGCAGGTGTATCGGTATTATCCTATCACTGACAGCATTGTACTTCAGGATAAATCTTGAAACATTCCTTGTGACGATGAATACCACACCATTCCTCTTCAATTTGTCGTTCCCAGCATAGTAGATCATATGGTTGTCTGATTCAAAATGGCCCAAACCAGTCCATTTCAGATCACTAATGCCTAGGATATCGATCTTTATGCATTTCATTTAATTCATAACAAATTCCAATTTTCCTGTATTCATACTTTACCTTTGGTGTTCAATTATTAATGGATGTTTGCAGCTGTTTCTTTGCATTTTGAGTCATGCCACATCAGCAGATGGAGGTCCTAAAAACTTTACTCCATCCACGTCATTAAGGTCAACTCTACTTTGAGGAGGCAGCTCTTCTCCAGTTGTATTTTGAGTGCCTTCCAACCTGAGGAGCTCATCTTCTGGTGCAACATAAGACAGTGTTTTAGGGCTATTCATAAGCTTTCAAGTAATGTATCAGATGGTGTTTCACTGCTATTTATACAGTTTTCATTGGCCAATTCTTTAAGAAGTAGATGGCCTCTTCCTTCTTCCAAGTCTGTCGTAGTCTGGAAGTTTCACTGAAATCTGTCCACCATGGGTGACCCTGCTGGTATTTGAAATACCAGAGGCATAGCCTGCAGCCCCACAGCAACATCCAAGCCACCCACAGTACAACAAACTGACAACATGAGTGGTGGCATTTAATTAGGGTACTTTATATTTTTAGGAATAAAAATAAGTACTTGACTTTTATTGAAATTTATGTTTTTCTTCCCCAGGAAATTCATTGTCACCATTAAGTATTGGAAATAATTCACCACCCAAAGATGTAAATGCTGTAAGTTATCTGACTGTGTGTGTGTGTGTGAGTGGTATGTGTATATTTGGTTAAAAGCTTTTGAACATAGTTTTGTACTGATTGCTTTAATAAAAAATTGTTCAATTTGCAGGTATCTGTCAAGGTCAGACTTTCTCATTCTTGATCTAGTACCTTTTTTCAAAAAATTAGACTTTTTCTTTTAAAATAGTTGTTGATTCACTTGCAGTTGTGAGGAAGACTAGAGATCCCTTAGACCCTTTACCTGGTTTCCCCTAATGGTAACATCCTGTGGAACTATGGTACAGTAGCCCAAGGATATTGTCAATGACCCAGTGAAGACACTGAACATTTCCATTCCTACAAAGATCCCTTACTTTGCCTTTTATGGCCACATCCACCTCCTTCCCATCCCTGCTTCCTCTTCAACCCCTGGCAACCACTAGTCAGTTTTATTACTTCAAGAAACTTGCCTTTGGAGACTGGTCTGTTTCACTCAGTGTCGGCTCTAGAGATTAACCTCATTTGGTGCCTGAATCAATATTTCAGTCTTTTTTATGGCTGAGTAGTATTCCACGGTATGAATATACCACAATTTAACTCTTCACCCATTGAAATGCGTCTTGAGTTGTTTCCAGTTCTTGAGTATTACAAATAAAACTGTTAAAAATATTCATGTACAGGTTTTTATGTGAACATAAGTTCTTATTACTGTACAATAAATGTCCAGGTGTTAACTGAGTCACATGGCAGTTCATGCCAATTTTCCAGAGTGACTGTACCATTTTGCATTCCCACCAGTAATTCTGAGTGATCAGTTTCTTTACTCGGAGGGTTGAGATAGCTTTTGTTGCAGCCGGATGCGAGTGGAAGTGTAGGCTTATCATTCTACTTTTGCTGGTAGGGGTGGGACCACAGCATTTTTCTGTAACGTGTGGTTGGAGTAGGGTGGTTATCATCTAAAAGTTTTCTGTTTTGCTAGGCTGTCCCTTCCCTGGTCCTTTGGCTAGAGAGAACAGGCGTTTTGCTGGGGCTTTTATTATGTACACCTTTTTACATTTCCAGGTTTTCCGTGTCCCCAGCACCTAGTCTGGGACAAAAAGAAAACCAAAGGAACTCACTGCCATGTTGTTCTTTGGATCTCAGGATGTCCCTGTTGAATCTGCCTTCTTTTTTCACCCTTCAGAGTTTTCTGATGGTTGTTCTATATACAAGTCCAGGGTTTTTAGTTAAACATAGTGAGAGGAATAGGGAAATGTATGTCTACTTCATCTTCCCAGAAGCAGCAGCTCCAAGCTCAGTAGTATTTCTTTTTTTAAGTAATTTTTAAGTGTTAATATTTGCTGTTCTCTTTCCTTAATAGAAGCCTAGCAATAATGTGCATCCTACAAAGTCAAGAACAGTGCACAAGTTGATTGAGAATTCTTTGTCCATAAACAGTCCGTCGCTCTTCAACTCCTTAGGGCCTCCTCTTCGGTTCACTACCTGCCATTGCTGTGGCCTGTTTGGTAAGTATCTTGCACTCAGAAGTTTGTTGGATGATTCCTGTCCACATCTAAAAATTATTTTTTATTATGAAAATTTTAAACACACAAAGTATAAAGAGGATAGTGTACGCCATACTCTCACTCTCCCAGCTTCCCCACTCCATTGTTATTTTTATAGGTCCTCATTTGAGGTAAAACTTAGCACATATCAGAATGCACAAACTCACACCCCATCAAGATAAACAATATTTGTTCTGTCCCTTTCCTGTCACTATGCTACACCCCACCAGAGGCAACCACTGTTCTCTTTTTTTCACCGTAAATTATTTTTGCCTGTCATAGAATTTCATATAAGTGGTATCATATAGCATGGACACTTCGCTGTAAAGGTTTTTTTTTTTTCATTTAGAAAGATATTTTTGAGATGAATCCATGTAGCATGTATTAGATTTTTATTGTTGAAAGCTATTTTTTTTTTTTTTCCATTGTGATTTGGGTGAAAGTTTACAGAGCAAATTCACTTTCCATACAGCAGTTCACACACATGTTGTCTCATGACATTGACTACAATTTA